TTACTACTATTACATAGATACGCGTAGAGTCGAGATGATTGTATTAGAGGTCTTTTTACTACTAATTAAACAATATTTACCAATAGTATTTGTAGGTGCATCTCTGATTCTACTATTTAAGGTTGCAACTTATATTAACTTTACCATATATATATATATATATATATATAGTCTAGTTATGTTGAATAAATATTTGACTGTTTTTGGCTATTCTCACTGATACTGATATATATAACTGTATTAAAGTTTTTGATAGTTGTTGTTTGTAAAACTCATTAGTTTTACCTGTTGAAAGTTGGCACATGAAATAGTTCATTATTCAAGGTCTGCATTTCACATTTTCGAAGTCTCTGATGGTTTGTGTTGGCTTTGCACTCCAGGTCTTGGGAGTTTGGTAGCTGCCATGACTTCAATTCTTCAGAAAAGGAATAGAGGGGAGGGGCTATTCAGCATGCGTCTTTTCTACACATGACGTGTCTTAAATCAGGAAGAAATCAGAAGAAGACCAGCATATGTGTTTTAAACTCTCGTCGTTATATGCATATGGATGATCCCAGATCACTTCCAGGTGATGCAGATTCTTCTCTGGTATCCGGAAATGATCAGCCTTGTGTGGTTCCATCCAAGATATTAAATGGAAGGAAGCCTATTGTATTGCCTAACAGTGATATAGATGGACTCTTGGAGTGCCCTGTATGCAGCAGTTCGATGTATCCACCAATTCAGCAGGTTTGCAAGTCTCTCACCTGTGGGCCCATATGTTCACTCTTGCATCATGCATATGTGCACATGTCACACAATAGCATGAAAATGAGAGAGAGAGAGGGGGAATGGGCAGAATTTGTGTGACTTAATGATGTTAATCGAGAAAGAGGTTGGGAGAGGGAGGGGAGTGTGTGAGCTCAGATGTTTATTGTGTGTGTGAGAGAGAGGATTGTGTGAGCACTCCTAGTCATACCTTCAATTTGAAGAAACAGAGAGAAGGGGAGTTGTGTGAGTCGTGATTTATCAATTTTGTGTGTGTATGCGAGAGAGAGAGAATGAGAGAGAGAGAGAGAGAGAGAGAGAGTTGTATTAGTTTGGTTTGTACTTGTAAGCAAGCAGTCCATGTCCACACACGTGTACGGGTGTGCACATGAGCCCATGGATCTTCCAAAGTTGAGTAATTGTCACGTATCTTCACATATGGGTACATTTCGAAGGACCCTGCTAATCTTTTCCTTCCAAATCTCAAATTTCAGTGTCCAAGTGGCCATACCATTTGCTTCGACTGTAAAGCCAAAGTGAACAACAAGTGCCCAATTTGTAGAAAAGAGATCGGTAACATAAGGTGCCTTGCTTTGGAGAAGTTAGCTGTCTCTCTCCACTTGCCTTGTGCTTATCATAGGTTGGGGTGTGAAGAAATGTTTCCATATTACACCAAGCTGAAGCATGAGGATCAGTGTGTGTTTAGGCCCTATAGTTGCCCACACCCTGGCTCGGATTGCCCTGTCACAGGGGATGTCCCAACTTTGGTTGCTCATTTGAGGGAGGTCCACAAGGTGGACCTTCAGACTGAGTGCACCTTCAACCACCGCTACGTCAAAAAGGATCCCTGTGCAGTTGATAATGTGTCGTGGACTTTAACTGTAAGCGTTCTCTCTCTCTCACACACACACACACATACACACATACATGCACAGAACTCTTATTTTTTTACTGTTTTTTCTTTATGGGAAAATATCATTAAAATTGTTCATACCACTTCAAAAAATCACCATGTCATCAGATCAACCATTTTATGAACAAAGTGATTGCTTTAATATGATCATCAAGTACCTCTAGTATATTGGTAAAAATTACCTGAAGCTTATGTTCAGGGTTTGGTATTTTGAACAGGTGGGAGTGTTCTGGTAATGGGTTTGGTATTTTGAACAGGTGGGAGTGTTCTGGTAATTTAGCCCAGAACACAAATGATGCCAAATTACCAAATGCTCTTGCTTTTCCAGATTCCTTACCCGAAACAAGAGGTTTTAATGAAGAAACACATTTTCCAGGTTTGGAACCTAAAACGAGTGGTAGTAGTTTTGTCATTTTGTTTTGGCTGCTTAAACTCAAATAACATAAATACCCTTGCTTGCTCCAAGTTCCTAATATGCAACATGAGATTTTAATGGAAAAAAAAACGTTTCGGATAACCCAAAGCATGTAAGGGGGTTTGTGTCATTCAGCATGAGCCACTTAAATGAGGCAAAATTAATAAAATAATTTCCTACTTCATGATTCCAAATCTAGAATAGAGGCATGCTAGGTAAATTTTAACTAAGTAGTATGAGGTACTTGAGTGAAATGGCTTTTCTAACATAGTCACTTTGTTGATAAATTGGTTGACTTAGCCACCTCAATGATTTTTTGAGGTGGTTTGGCCATATTAATAGCCATTGTTGTTCTTCATTTAGGGAGGATAGAGAAAAACTCTTCTTTCTCTACTTTTTTATACGAAAAAACTATTGGATTTCTTTGGGTATTACAGCTAGGATACTGCTTAGACTGAAAGGTTCAGTAATTTCATTCTTATAACAATGACACACTGTGATGCACAATTTTGCAGCTTTTCCACTGCTTTGGCCACTACTTTTGCCTCCACTTCGAAGCATTCAGGCTCGGTGGTGAGGCTGTATACATGGCATTTGTTAGGTTCATGGGTGAGGAGAGTGAGGCCCGAAAGTTCAGCTATTGCCTCGAGGTTGGAGGCAATGGTCGAAAGCTCACGTGGCAAGGGGTGCCGAGAAGCATTAGAGATGGACATCGAAAGGTGAGGGACAGTCATGATGGCCTCATTTTGCAAAGGAGCTTGGCTCTCTACTTCTCTGGTGGTGATAGAAAAGAGCTCAAGCTTAGGATCACTGGTCGAATATGGGAAGAGCTATGATGTGTGAGAGAGAGAGACACTAATGCCTGGAGGTTGTATTTTTGTACTCCTCTCTCTCTCTCTCTCTCTTATGGTTCCAGAGAGAGAGAGAGTCTAATGACTAAGAGTTTGTGTTTTTGCTCCTCCCTCTCTAATGGCTAAAAAGAGTTTGTATATTTTGCACTTCTCCTTCCACTTGTAGGAGAGGAAAAATGATAATGTTACCTTCTACGAAGAGGACAGTGATGATACCTCTTTCATGTGCTTTTATTTTAAGACAAAGTTTATATAAGGGTGAGGCCCAAAACAATTAAATTAAAATAAGGTGCACTTCAAAAATTCCCTAGAAAAGGTTGTTTCGATGTTGAAAAACCTATAATTTGATCATCTCGAAGTCTTGAAAATGTGTATCTTGTAATGTATTATCTATAATTTTCAAGTGTTTACGAGTTTGCACGATATATAAATATTTTTGAATTTTTAAATTCTATAATTAGAGATGAAAAAAGACTTTCAGGCCTCATAAGATTTTTGTTACTCAAACAACATATGTTGGCGCTATGTGAAGGTGTGCCACTTTGATTGTTTAGAGTTTTGGCTTTATACAAACCATTCTCAGCTTTATACAAACCACAAATGGTGAATATTGGGGTATTGTGGATTTAAATAAATATCTTGTCCAAGTGTAAATATGAAAAATATGCAATATCGATTATTTACGTTTGGTACAAGATGGTTACGATCACCATCTATCTTAGGCATCAAAGCGTCACCTTTTTGACACAATGGTGACCCCGGCAGCTCGAATTAATGGCCAATGCGTCATTTCTTTGTAGAGAATAAACTCTCGGGCAAGTTTTCCAGGAGTGTTACCCTTTAGCCACGCATCATCACATCGGTGAATTAAGGGTGACTATGAACTTTTGTGTCAAAAACAAACAATTTTATGGAAGGAAAGAGTTTATATACGTTGCGAACCTTATATTGTACAATTAAGGCATGCCTCATAACCCATTGGAAAAAATTCTATCGATGTTGGAAAACCTTCCATTTGATCATCTCAACTTTGATATATATATTAGGTCTTAAAACTATTGCATCTTATAACATATTATCTGAACCAATTTTTTCAAGAATTTCAAATATTAAAAGGTGCGGTTTCTATAAGGTTGCAACCTTAAACAATCCAATTAAGGTGCACTTAAAATTTTATTATAATATGTAATTTTGTTGTAAAAATACTTAGTATTATCTTGAATCTATTTTCATACCTAATTAGAAAATTTTAAATTTCAAAAGTGGTTAAAATCAAGTAGATTTATGAATATATGAAAATCTTGAAAATGGGCGGTCTAGATAATGTATTGCAAGATGCACTATTTTTTAGACTCAAAACTCTTTTTTTCATATTCACACATCTCGATGTCGAGATGATCGATTAGAGGGTTTTCAACATTAAAACACTATTTCCGATAGATTTTTGAGGTGCATCTGTGTAAGGTTGCAACCTGATATAAACTTTTCCCAATATTAAATGATCGGCTCGATATGCATAATTTTGGAGTTTTAATTTCATAAACGTAGATTTTGAAGCTATCATAGTTGTTTTTGAAAAAAATTGCATCTGTCGACATGATTTGGAGGTATCTTACTTTGATAGTTTGAAAATTAACGCCATATGCAAATCTCATCCTTTATTATGCCTTTGAGTGGAGCAGCTCAACATAATGTCCCACCCTCTATTCCCACTATTAACTTATCAAAAAAAAAGGTCAATATTACAGCAGGTACACTTGTCAAAAAGAGGATACGATGCTACAATTTGACGCATTAGACTGCTGAATTTCATTTCTGATCATTAACTCACAATTTGCTTCAATTGCTTTATGATAGGATTTTAAGATTATGATTTGTATCTTCTCGATTTTCAGTTAAAAAATAATAATTAGAGGCCTTCTCCCCTTCCGACGTACCAAAAAAAAAATTCCTTTTAAGTTTCAAAAAAATTATCAAATTATGAAAATCTTAAAAGGTGGTCTTCACCATGCATGCCATTGAGTAGATAAGAAAGCCAAGAGCTCTCCTCCCATGTTCGAGATCAAGAAAAAAAGGTCAAAATTTGTTCGTCCTTTTCTTTTGAGATTTAACGGTTAGATATAATGACTATAATGCCCAACTCTTTAACTAAAAGTCTCTTCTTAAAAATGAGCATAACGCAAAAGCATATTCTCTATAATTTATCAAGCGAGGGAATATTCTCAAACCCATGGTGGTGAATAACACCATACTCATTACATTCAAAGGAAAAAGAGAAAAAGTTTGTACGAGGCACCAAACATTGTAGTAATGAATAAAATGTATAATAAAATTCCACTTGAGAAACTGAAGGTTGTTTCAAGGAAAATTTTCGAATAGAACTCTAATTCATCGTATTATGTTATCGTAGATTTTTTTTTTGGTTTTTCTTTCAAACTGCATAAGAAAATTTCTAAATATTTCACCATAACCCCTCATATCTTATCTTCTTCTAGTATTGACTTTTGATTATAAAAACTAGCCTCAACAAATATTTTTATATCATTTCAACCCAAATTTTTTTTAATGAGTGGAAAGAGAAAAAAATAGTTAAAAAAGTTTTTGAAATAAAATGATATAAAAAGATTTGTTGGGGCTAATTTTTATGGTCAATAGTCAATAAAAGAGAGAGATAAGAGATGATGGGGTATAGTGAAATCCTCAGAGATTTCTTTATGCTGCTTAAAAAAAAACGAGAAGAGGGTCTACTATGAAATAATATGAAGAATTATAATTCTATACAAAATTTTTCTTTGTTTCAATGCTAAAAAATCCTCTAATTGAGCATTTTCCCTTGAAGGATATGAAAATAAAAGATTTTATATCTTAAAATAATACATCTTGTAACACATTATATGAGCCATCCATTTTTAACATATTATACGGGCCATCAAAATCATTTTTAAAATATTTTTTTGGAAAAATCTTAGATGCTTGCTTTTTATTTTTTTTGGAGGGATCTCCACTCTATATTCATTGTAAAAATCGATGCGTGTTGCAAGGGGGGACACAAATGTAGTTGTGTCCCCTGACACATATAACACTTTTCTTTTCAAATATATAAGTTACAATCTAATAGTAAGATATTTCAAGTCTTAAAAATGATGCATTTTGTAAAACATTATCTGGACAATCTATTTTTAAGATTTTCATACGCTTATAAACCTTATAAATCTGTTTGATTTTAACCATTTTCGGAATTTAAAATTTTATAATTGAAGGATAAAATAGATTCTCTCACCATCCTAAGAATCTTTTGACGCTAAAATTGTATCTTAAGACAAAGTTTAGAGGTGTACCTTAATTTAATTGTTTTTATAAGGTTGACACCTTAAAATATAGAATTAAGATGCACCTTTAAAATTCCTTAAAAAATGTTCATTTGATATTGGAAAAACATATAATATATCGTCTCGACATCGAGATGTAAAAAAAAAGGAGATTTAAAGTCCTAAAAATAATACATCTTGCAACACATTATCAGGATCGTCTATTTTCAATATTTTTATGTATTTTTAGATCTACTTGATTTGGACTATTTTTAGAGTTCAAAATTCTATAATTAAAGATAAAAAAGATTCTCTCACCATCCTAAAAATTTTTTACACTAAAATTGAATCTCAGGATAAGGTTTAGAAGTACACCTTCATTTGATTTTTTAGGTTGCAACCTTATACAAAACACAACCCTTTACCCATAAAATAAACCACAAAAAAAATGCAATAAGAAAAAGAAAAAAAAAAAACCATTAATAAATACAAGGTTAAAGTGGATAATACAATAAAGATTGTTACTAATTTGTACACTTCAGATGAGGTGGGGAATCGTTGCACCCTTTGGGCAAAAAAGTAGGGGTACTTTAGCCATTTTACAACATAATATCGCAGGCACTTGCAACTGCTCTTAAATAGTGCGGGCCTCTTTTATCTCTTTGCTAAAATGCTTCGCAACGAAGCGCGAGAGCAATGGAGGGAAAATGCTCTCTCACGTTTGTAACAGAAAACCCTAATCTATAGCTCCAACTTGGCCACAGAAAACCGTCATTTGAAGCTCAAAGTTTCGTTTCTCAAAACCCCAAAACCAGGCGTATACACGTTAGTTTCAAGCTCTAGGATTCCCAGATATCCAGCGGAATATTTGGTCAAATAGCTCTCTGCTACTTCCTCACTAATCTTCATCTGATTTTTCCTTTTCTTTTTCGACTATATGATTTTTTTTTTTTATGAACTGTTGCATTTTGTAGGAATTTGTAGATGATCGAGATCTTTCTTTGCACCTAAATAGTTTCAATCTGGTAAGATTCCATTATCGCAATTCATCGATTCTCTGTATGATGCTATCAGAGTCATGGATTTTTTTTTTTTGATGGAGAGAATAACTATTTTGTAGACCGAAATTTTTGTATTCACTTAGTTGCATGGGATATGTATCATGAGATTTATCTGCTTGATCAATGATGGATGGCATGAATCTTATTGAGTTTCTTCGAGCTAATTAAATCATACCGTCGATCAGTAATTTTCTCATGAATAGTAATCCTTTTATTGAATTTATCTGTAAATTCGCTGTGATTTCATATGGATATGGAATTGTACCCCCTGCATGTATATATATTGTTCTTAATTTTTTTTATCAATTTCCTCCTTAAATTTTACAATTCTAGTGCCTTAATTAAGCAATGGCTCACTGTAACATTGTACCAATTTGTCATGGAAATTTTAGGGCTTTATATTTGCTCATATAATGCATGAAATTATGATGATTGGATATAATTAGGCTTGGTTGGTTTTTGCAGAGTTTCAAATTGTGTTTTCCTGTTGAGCCTAAGGACTTTCTTCCTACTGAACTGCAGATTTTAATAAAACTAATTATGCTTATCTGCTGAGATGTTTTCAGCACGTGTATTACAAATTGTACTTAGTTTATCTGATAAGATAAAAATTTGCATTTCATCTATGAACAACAATGTATAATAATCCATGTTATTGTTACTTATTTCCATTTTGTAGTTTTTCCAGATGGATAGTATTATTGCCTCATTATGGTATACTAGCTGATGGAACATGTGTTAACAATGCTCTTGCTTAGAGATTATAGAAAAATAATTTTAGAAAATTTTAATTTGATTAATAGTTAATTTGTCACCTTTCTTATTTTCTGTCATTAATACATAACCCTTTTTATTTTTTCTCGAGTTTCTTTTCTTGGATGTGCTAAGGAGTCTAATGGGAATTCTCAATTTTGTTAATAATGATCAGCATACAAAATTCCTTTCTAAATATTTCAGTAACAACTTTTTCCCGCTCTTATTTATTCTCCATAACCTGTTATTCTTTCAAACCCGGGATTGAGATATAAAATAAATAGATTTTGAAGGAGAGACAGAGATAATTCTTTTTGACTTTCATTGAAGCTAAACAACAAATCACAGGGATTTTTTTGTGTGAAAATTGACTATATTGTACAAGATCTACAAGATGTATATGTGGCGGGCACCATACAAAAATGTGACTGCTATATGGGCTTTATACCCAACAAATCAAATAGATTTGTAAGTAAAGAGATTTTAGGGATGGGAGTTTAGAGAGGGAGATATTTTAGGAAATTTGGAGGGAAGAATAGGAGTGGCGAGAAAGTCGATAGTCACACTCCTATTTATTCTTCCTTGTATATGTAGATTTAGGTGGTTATCAGAAAGGTTTTATGCTGCTTTGTAATTCGATTGGTTGTATATGCTGGGGAGTCTTCTTTCTTCTCATGTAATTTTTTTACTTTTTTGAGTTTTTTTAATGATATTTATGCATATGGATATTCTTTATACATTGAGGGAGTACATAATGTCTTCTTCTTTTGTTTAAACAAATTTTTATATTCTATGGGTCATGTGCTTCGATTAATTTTCTTGTGCCAAATTTGCATTGAAACCTTGTATAGTGTAAAACTGTATTTATTTGCTGGAATTGTTTGTTTAATATGAATGGAGGAACAAGATTCATGTAGCCGACCGCAAATAAGCGGGATAAGGCTTGGATGATGAAGATGATGATGAATTATTTGTTTAATATATATGTTTAGACCAATGGTTTAAAAAACGGATCGGTGACCAGGTCGGGCTTCCAAAAAACCGATCCGGATCGGCGAATCGGCGATTCGGATCGGGAATCGGGTGAATCGGTCATAATAAAGCTTAAAAAAAATTCAAAAAAATTATT